AAAATCTTGGATAATGTTTCGTTTTTTTGAAAGGGTTGAAGTAGCTTTTTGAATGGTTTGAGACTTTAGAAACAATTATCGTTAGCATTGATGAGAAAAATATAATTAGAGCATAAATATGGTAAACTTACTATGTCTTTGAGTTCTTGATTATTAGGATTATTAATTATTTTATCTTCAATATCTGACAATAATTTAGCTTGTTGTTTGATATCTTGACTAAGTTGATTTGATCGTTCTGCAAGAAAATCTAATTGAATATGCCTCGTGTCTGCAAAGTTAATTGTATATCATAATATATTATTATTATAATGTTCTATAAAAACAAATAAAATCAAATAAATAAATAATGATATACCTCCTCCTTGTCCCATGAGACACACATGGGTCGCCCGGTCATTCTTCTTTTCTTCTTCAGTTTCTTGAATATCAGCACGCTTATAATACATCATTTGCGGACTTCTTAAAAAGGGTAATACTCTCACTCCAGGTTTTGCTTCAGGTAATTTATATTCCAGTTCAACATAATCATCGTCATCAATCCACTGTTCATCATCTAAACTCATCTTCAAAAAGTCTTCATCTTTTCCCAATAACGATTCTTTTCGGTAAACTTCATTATCATCGAACTTAGGAAACGCGCCTTCCATATACCGAACCGCAATGCCTCGAACATCTAGATCTTTCAAATCGGTCTCTGCTTCATGAAAAATTATATCACGGCTTTTAACTTCTTTTCCTTCTAAAATAATTGTATTTTCTTGCATCTTAAGATGAATGTCTTGTTTAAACCTTCCAATTTTTGCTTTGATTCCAACCATATTTATTGTACCATCAAGTGGATCGTATAATGATTCTTCCCTATAAAAACTACTTAAAAACAATGATCCCACACATATCTTTAATTTGATCGATTGTAAAAATTTTGGAAATTTGAGAGATGGTGGCGCAAGGGACGGGAATAACTTTCCTTGACGAATTGGAATTGACATTGCAGGATCGAATAACGACGCCCAAGATAATCCATGCATAATCGCTTTAGGACTTGACCTTATTGAATTCTTTGGATGACATTTATCGTGTTGTCGCAAATCGATAGACTCATCCCAATCTAATGGACAGGTAACGCTTACTGACAGATGAATACAATCTGATCGAAATCCCCTAAAAGAATCATGTACCTATATGTCGATAAGGATATATTTGTGTATTAAACTTATGTAAAGGAAAATGGTTAATTACTGCCATTATACTTACTTCTCCTATTGGTGCAATGGCATATTGTGGTAGTATTGTAGCTATTTGATAATGAGGAATAAAATCCTTAAAACGACACTTTCCTTGCCCATTACAAGTTGAACACACTCCCGAATTAAGGCTGCAACTACGATTAAAATGACATCCAACACCATACCTAACACCTCCACAAAAATTCATAATTTTCATCAAGAATTTGAAATATGGACTATCGGAAAATGGTGTTTCACTTGAATTCTCTGTTTTAACTGAACTTGTTTCCGAATTCTTAGTAACATCATGTTGCATTCCATAAGATTCAAACAATGCGCTATCAGGGATTAGACCCCCATAAGAAACCAAAGCGGTTAAGTTAGGGATGGCCGCAATGAATTCTTCGCTGTCTATTTGTAGCAGCTCATCTTGTTCATTTGCAAACCCTAATCTAACTTCTACGTTTTTTCTCCAGCATAAAACAAAACCAGCACCTGAACCAGTAACAAGGTAAGGATCTCGCGATCCTTTTGAAAAAAATAGAACATTACTATTACCCTTAAAGTCCATTAATATCTGGAAGTGCAACATGAGCCTAATTTTATCCCAAAAACCAACGGGTTCGGATGGATCCGGACTTGGCTTTGCGAAACTTTCAAAAACTTTTGCAAAATCTTGAATAGCAGGTTGTGTAGCAATACCCCACGAAACGACAGTAGGACGCGATGAACTTATGCTGATATGAAGATCAGAGTATAATTTTACAGGTGAACATGTACGGGGTACGACGATATTATAATCATTATCACCGATAGATTGCGAGGCAATTTGCACGTTAATTCTTCTTATCGACTCAAGCCCCTTCAATTCTTCGCCAACTACAAGATGTCCTTCGATATCACATGAATATTGCTCCTTACCATTAATTGAATCGGCAGAAGGAATGTGCGCCAAAGGTAATGGATAATCACGAATTTCAGCCCAAACCTCTTTTAGTTTGCAATTCAAATGTATGGGTACCAAAAAAGCAAATTTTGTATCCAAAGGCAATCCTTTACCCATTTTATACATATAATGGGGAAGTTCGTTCATTGGAAACGAGGGCGCAGAAAGAACCAATAAAGCTTTCTCTATGGTAATTCTGAATAAGGCTGGATGCTGAGACCGTGTAGCTAATGAAATAGGCAGGTTATCACATGGATATTCGAACTTGTGATGTAATATTGACGTTTTCACACATTTTATCCAACTCCGAGAATTGAACTCGTTGAGGACAACACGTGCCTCTTCGACGCTCAAATTTGCTCGTGGAGAAGGTTGAGGACGGAAAGGACCAAATCGCGGAGATTCGGAATTATCACCGTCTTGTAATGATGACACATTAGCGTTATCTGGCGCTAATCCACCTTCTCCCTTTGCGTTCTGATGATATTCATGTGACCTAATAACTTTAGCTTTTGCTTCAAATGCAGTCTCTCTTCCCAATCTGGCCTGTTGTTCTAAATATCCGAGTTTCCAAATAGCAGAAAGCTTTGCTTCAAACGGATCATCTTCTATTCGGAAGGTTAGAACTCCGACTTTGAGCTGAATAGTTGGCAAATACTTTGGCCCTTCCTCTTCCGGATCCACGATATATATATCATCAGGAACAAAGAGACGTTCTTGTAAATGTTTTATTACCTTAGTTGAGTTAATAGCACTTTCAATGACATTAGCAAGAATATAGTTGTATGGAATACGAACATGAATAGCTTCTATCTGAACGCAAATCATTTTATTTTGACTCTTATCAAGAGGTAATTTTGCAGTATTCCGTTTTGTATCATCTTCTAAAAGTAGAATATGTGCATTTTTGATATTTGCAATCTGATCCCACAATCCTTCTTCACTTGGACTTGTACCAAAAGCTCGTAAACATCCTATTTGGAATTCGTGATTGTCAATAGATGCGAATCTGTATTTTGAATCGTCCAATCTTATGAAAAACTTTATATCATCCGGAAAATCGACAAATATGTTCACACGGTTTAATAAAATATTTGCTTCTATTTTAAACGAACTAGTGCCTTCTGACACTGAAGCCGAATGTATTGTGCTAGAATGTTTCTTAT